TCCTCCTCGTCCTCCTCGTCCTCCTCCTCGTCCTCTTCGCCCTCTCCGGCAATCGCACAGTGGGCCCAGCGAAGCCTGGGCCGGAACGCGGCCCTGCCCCCGAAGTCGGAGGACAGGGAAGGGGGGGGGAGCGATACATTGGGGTAACAGCGAGGGCTGCACCCTTCAGGGCCCCTTCAGGGGCCCTCCAGGTGCCAGGAGAGGGCACCTCTCCCATGGCCCTCCCCCCCGCATTTGTCGCCCCCCGTCAAGTCGCGCCCAGCGATGTCTCGAGTCGAGAGGGCGGAAGGAGCATCGTACTTCGTGCTGCGCGCTCTGGAGAAGGCGCGAGTGCTCGGGCACCCACTCCGGGGGGGGAACGGCGGATGCCCGGACAGGCTAGGAATTCCAGGGCCAAGGGCCCAGGAAATTCCGATCGAAAGCTTATTGCTCAGTCGGGCATGTCCCCCTACATGAGGAATGTTTAAGAAAACAATACATGCCAGGGGGCGATTTACCTGCTCTTTGGATGTATTGTTTATCAGTTTGGGGCATTGTTTCATTTGTCTTCAAAATCCACCTGTAGGAGGACATGCCCGACCTAAGTTTACTGGTGGCAACCCCAGGGCTGCTCTTCGCATGTGCAGGACCTCGTGCTGGGGCGGCCGGGTAAACATCTTCCCCGTGGCCTAGCGCCGCCACGGCCAGTGGCATCACCCCCATGGGCCGTCCCCACCGCGGCCACTAGCATGAGATTTCGGCCACCCCATTCAAAGGATGTGGTCCATTGCCGGACTACCGCTGGCCCCTGGCGCGAAGTACTTCCCGCAAGCTGCCCCACGACCCCCTCATCCCTAGAGGTGGGTCTGGGCACCCTTTGAGCCCATAGCGGGAGCTGTCCGTGCACAGGGGGCTCTTGCTCGCCGCCTCCGCGCCACGCGGGCCGACGGAGACAGAGCGGGCGGCCTCTCGGGAACTTTTGCTGCAGGGGGGAAAGTCTTCCCCAAGAGGGCCCCAAGAGGCCCCCAAGCGGGCCCCAGGAGGAAGGGGGAGGAGGAGGAGGAGGAGGAGGAGGAGGAGGAGGAGGAGGAACGAGGAACGAGGAACGAGGACGAGGCCAAGGGAGGACGAGGAGGAGGAGGAGGAGGAGGAGGAGGAGGAGGAGGAGGAGGAGGAGGAGGAGGGGGAGGAGGAGGAGGAGGAGGAGGAGGAGGACGAGGAGAAAGAGGAGGAGCGGAGCGTCGCGCAGATCGATCCCGAGCGCGGCGTGCCGTGCAGCTCGGGCCTGGCGGTGGCCCCCCCCCCCCTGGCCGGAGCACGCCGGAGAGGCGGCGCCGCGCACGAGTTGGGCGCCGTTTTCCGCTCGCCGGCGGGGCGGGCGGAGGCGGGTACGGTCGCGGCTGCAGCGGCGTGCCCAGACCTCCAACGCATTGAAAAAATCAAGTTGGATGCTTTTCTCCCAATTTTCGGCCTCCAGCGGCCCTCGCCGGGCCCCGGGACCGTCAAAAGACGACTCGGGATGGATAACCGGTCCTGGGGAGCGGGTCGAGACTTCCGGACACCACGTATTGAAGAAATCATGACGTCGGATCTCTGGGTTGGCTTCTGTGTCGCGCGATGGGAAGGCGCGAGCGTGCGGGGGTCCGCCGATTGGTTCGGGACGCCTGGACGAGAGGTTACCCCTGGCTCTGGCGCTGGCTCTGGCTCCAACCGTGCATTTGCTCCGTCCTCCCCGTCGTCCCTGTCGTCGTCGCCGTCCTCCTCCTCCTCCTCCTCCTCCTCCTTCTACTCTTCTTTCTTTTCCTGACGCCCAAGCTGGAGGAGGAGGAGGAGGAGGAGGAGATGGGAAAGGGGGATGAGAAGGGAGGAGGAGGAAGACCAGTGCAAACCCAAGGCACATCAACGATGATGCGATAAACCCTTCGTCCACGTTCCCTCTGAGCCACTACAAGAATTTATGTTGACTGCGGGAAGCGCTTTCATCGCGCACAAACTCCATTCTTGGGACGTCAACGCCGAATCAACATGTTTGTGGCGTGCTGGCCATCTTCTGCTTCACAGCCGCGAGGCGCTCCTTCTGCTATTTCTTATTGTGCAATTCACAAAGGGTCGCCAATCGCGCGCTCTTCTGCCCACGCGTCCTTCCGGATGCTTGGCTCTGTGGTGGCGGGGTGGCAACCATTTAATTCGCAGCAGAAAGCAAGTCCTGGGACTTCCACACCGCGAATCAGCTTGACTGGTCCATCCCGATGCGCCTCTACTGCGACGAGGCACCATTCCTGGGATTTCAACCTTACGAGTAGTTGCCGCCGCTGCAACTGTTTTAAACGATCGCGCCGGTGCTTAGGCGAGAGCCACCTGCTGGAAAGGAGCCGGACTCCCTTTTGGAAACGGCCGAGAACTGTCGAGACGAACGTGCGCGGCATCGATGCAAGAGCAGCATGCCGAGAATGTCTTGGGCTCCACCCTTGAAGCCGTGGCAGATTCGCTGCAAATGTCCAAGACGAGCACGTACGTACTTAGCTGCCTCGGTGCGCACGTCTTGATACGCAGCACGTACCGTACTCAAGACGTCCGTGCCAATACGTTGTGTTGGCTCAACGTATTGGCCCACGTTTTGGAGAACGTATTGCGTCGGACCCACGTTTTCAGGATGCGTGCTGAACTCAGTATCGATACGCTACGTGTTGCGTGTTGCGTATCTCAGAGCGTGAATTACCTACCCCGCTTTCGCTTCCAGGCAAAACCAAGTCATACCACGCGCCTCCTTGTCAAGCGGCCTGACCAGTACATGCTGCAATTTGGCATCGTTTGGTATCTCTTGGAAGCGAGGGTGGTCAAAAGCGAGGTAGGTATGTCTTCCCCTAAGTATCGGGGCGGCTAAGCGTGCGTACGGCGCCACGGCGAGAGTCGCAGCTTCACTCCAGCCGAAGAACCATCAGCGGCGAGGAAGCCCCATGCGACACGCCCGGCCTGGCCCGCCGACGCGCCCGAGGGTGCGGCTCCGCGCGACAGGGAGGAGTTGCTCATGAGGAAGAGACGTGGAGGAGGCGGAGGAGGAGGCGGAGGAGGAGGAGGAGGAGGAGATGGCCGAGGATGACGAGGAGGAGGAGGAGGACGTGGAGGAGGAGGATGAAGAGGATGAGGAGGAGGAGGAGGAGGTGAGAGGATGAGAGGAGGAGAGGAGGAGGCGACGTGGAGGAGGGAAGGAGGGAGGGAGGAGGAGGCGGACGTGGAGGAGGAGGAGAAGGAGGAGGAGGCGGAGGAGGAGGAGAAGGAGGAGGAGGAGGAGGAGGCGGACGTGGAGGAGGAGGAGAAGGAGGAGGAGGAGGAGAAGGAGGAGGAGGAGGAGGAACGGGTGGACAGGAGGAGGAACGGGTTGGACAGGAGGAGGAAGGGGAGGAAGGGGGGGAGGGAGAGGAGGAGATGGAGGAGGATGCCGACGACGGTGCCTCTCCCGCCCTCGTACCGAGACCTTCGACGTCACGTATGGGCCCCAGGGGCCTCGACCCCGCTCCCCCCAGGAGCGGCTTCTCGCCCCGGAGCGTGTTGTGATTGTCCCGCAGCCCAGAAGCGGCATCTTTCCCCTTGGGGGCGGGCCACCGGACAGGAACTACGGTCAGGAATTGTGGCTTAACGTGTCGCTCCGCCGATTTTGGCCCACCACGCTTCAGCGCGACACTGGCCGCGACACGCTATTCACTTCCCAGTCCCCAGGATTCAGCGCCCCGAGCCTTTCAGAGCCTCCTGCCCCGCGGAGCGGAGCGACACGCTATCCGCTCGCAGTGCATTGCGTGTCGCTGGCCGCGACACGCTAGGCAAAAAATCCCGACCGTAATCGATCCGCGCTGGAAACCCAGGGTCAGAGGTACCTCCAGCGAGGAGGTCCAGCGAGGCATCGTGGACCGCCAGCAAGGAGGTCCACGATGCCTCCCCGAGCTGGGGATGGGGGATGTCTCGAGCGAGAGGGGGGGGGAACACACCACCAGAGGGACCCCTGGCCCCTCCTGCTCGTGGTCCCTGGTAGTGGTGTTGCTTCCCCCCTGCATTAAGTCGGGCCTGTCCCTCTACAGGAGGAGTATCCAAAAATAGCCAACAAAAATAGTATGGGCACGATTCTGAAACATTTTTTGACCATCTGTGCACATGTTTTGATATTTTTATCCGTAAGGGCTTCGCCCCATGCCGCCGGCCCCCTGTCCCGGAGAATGGGAGATGCAAAAGCTAAATCATGAGGTCTGGGCGCCGCCGTGAAGCAATGTCGGGACCTGTTTGTTTTTCGACCCTGACCCCGCCGATCTGCGTGAGGGGTGCCGCCGAATTTCAAAAATGTGGCACACCCCCTCTGTTTCTGGAGCCTGACCCCGCCGATCTGCATGAGGGATGATACCGAAGTTCAGAAATGTGGCAAATCCCATGTGTTTTTCGACCCTGAGCCCGCCGATCTGCGGGAGGGGTGCCACCGAATTTCAGAAATGTTGCAAATCCCATTTGTTTCAGGACCCGGACCCCGCCGATTTGCATGAGGGGTGCCGCCGAATTTCAAAAATGTTGCACATCGCCTCTGGTTCTGGAGCCTGACCCCGCCGATCTGCGTGAGGGGTGCCACCGAATTTCAGACATGTGGCAAATCTATTATGTTTTTGGACCCTGACCCCGCCGATCTGAGTGAAGGGTGAAACGAATTTCAAAAATGTTGCAAATCCTTTGTGTTTTTGGACCCTGACCCTGCGGATCTGCGTGAGGGGTGTCAGTTTTTACCCCCTCAGAAATTCTGAGAACCCTCCCAGGGCGTGGTAGTTCTGCTGGTTTGGGCCCCCCCCCGTCGTGCGTCCATCAACAAGGAACAGTGAGCAGCAAGAAGCAGAACTGCAACAGTGGAGACTGGAAGCTGCAACTGGCACAGGGAGCAGCACACTCCCGGCCTACAGCCTGGTGGCCCTGCAAGGGGGCCGGCGGATTTCTCGTCGAAAATCGGCCTGTAGGACGACATGCCCGACCCAACACCCTCGCATCTGGAGGTACCTCCTCCGCAGAGCCACCAGCCCGACCGACGCGGCGGTTCTCCTCTGCACCATCCCCGCCGTGGTCTGCGCCGCCTTCGAGGGCCTGGCGCTGCCCATCGTCATGTACGCAGCGAACCCGGCCACCGCGCAGGCGCCGCGGCCCAGGACGAGGGGCGGGCTTACTCATACAGTCGAGACGCTGAGATAAGGAACAGTTTGGGTTCGGAAGGGGCTCGATTTTCCTTAGGTTCCTCCGGTGCTGTTCCTCTTGCCCTCCTGGGGCACGGAGGCGCTTACTGGGCCAAGAAGGGGCTTCGTTCCTTATTTGGCGTTCCTTCTTTCAGCGGCCCGACTGTAGCGTTAATTTGGAGGTCGGAAAGGGGTGTGGCATAAAGGGGTGTGGTGCCAATCGTGGAGATGGCGATGTTCCTACGATAGGTGACCTCGCCAGGTCCAGCATTGGCACCACACCCCTTGACACCACACCCCTTGCCTGCCTCAGAGTTCAGTCGGGCCTGCCCCCTACAGGAGGAAGCGCAAAAATAGTCGGGGGCGATGATTCCATTATGTCCTGACTCTTTCTGAACCTGTTTTGACTGTTTTTTTCATTTGCCGTCCAAGTTCCGCCTGTAGGGGGACGTGGCCGACCTACTCATAGCTGGGGCCAGCGCCAACGGGGGCCAGCCAATCCCCACTGGCTGGCCCTGGTTTGGGCGCTCTGCGCGGGGCCGGCTCCCCTCGGCCGGCGCCCTGGCGTGGGAGCCGCTATAGGCGGCCAGCCGGGCTTCGCGGCAGGAGCCTGTTTTTTTTTTGGATTCAGGCAAGTTCGCTTGCATGGCGTTCGCCCCCCCCCCCCCTCGCCCCTCTTCAAGCGAATGCTAGCGTGCAAGCGCCTTTCGACTTGCGTGATTTCCGCGCCCCCCCGAACGTGCGAGTCGTTTGCGGCTTGCTTCAGGCGCAGCCCCCCCCCCCGTCCATGCAAGTAAACTTGCCAGAGTCTAAAAAAAACAGGCTCAAAGACACCAGCTCTGCACGTGTGGATTTTTCCTTCGGCGAGGGCCATCGAGGAGCATCCTCGATCATTCGGCGAAACAGCCACGCGCGAAACCGGCAAAAAAGCACAGGGAATATGGACGTCCAGGCGATGGCCAGCCAGGGAAACGCTCGGGGGGGATAGGCTCTGGGGGGGGACGCATGGACCCCCAGGCGCCCGTTGATCGCCGATGGGGGCCCGGTGTCCTACTCCGCCCAGGGCCGCGTGGGCTCGCCGTCGGGGGCCTGTCGCCAATGGGACGGCGGCGTATCGATGTGTCCCCCCCCCTGAGCGGGTCCTCCCCTGGCGTTGCGCCTCGGGGGGCGACGACGGCAAGGGGGGAGGCGACAGCGATGGAGCGGCGGCGGGAATGATAATGGAGGAGTTTTTCTAGTACAGCTCGATTAGTAGGGCGATCTTGGAGTCCTCGAGGTTACCGAGAGGGGCTCTTGACAATGCCCGATCCATCAGTGTGCCTATTAGCTCTGCAGCTGCTCTAAACTCCGAGGTCCATATTGGGGGGGCCATGTGAGACCATATGGTGTCGCGACCGAGGCCGCGCGCGCCATGGGACCGCCGACCGGCTCTGAGCACCATGAAGCAGGCGAGTTCTGAGGAAAACGGATCCTGACCTCTTCCTCTGTGCTCGGCCCTTCGGGGCCATTCCCGCGCCTTGGGGCCGCCAGCAAACGACTTAAGATGAAGGACTGGCTTTGGGGGGGAAGCTTCGGGGTCCAGGACGTGTTTCCATCAGGTCCCGTCTCCTTCATGCCAATGTTGAGCAGTCGACCTCCTCCTCCTCCTCCACCTCCTCCTCCTCCTCCTCCTCCTCCTTCTGCCGTAGCCATTTTGGCTCAAGTTTCGGCTCGAGAGCTTTGGGTGCGACAGCCAGCCTGTCGCGAGCTCTCCTCGGGCTGGGACCATCGCGCCTTCGGAGGAGGCGTGGCACAGGCGGGCGCGCCGCCAGCGCTCCAGCGCGCGCTCCCTTGTCCGCGCCTGGAAGGGGGCGCGGTCGCCACTGCTGCAGGCGCGCCTCGTGGAGGCGGCCCGCCTGCTGGACGCTCACCACGGGTCCTCGGCTGGCAGCATGGCTGTGGGCGCTGGGCGTCGCGGTGGCGGTGGCGCAGGGCGGCAGCCTGGGTGGCAGTGCCCGTGCCAGGGATGTGGCTACTACAACTTCGGGGAGCGGGACACGTGCCGTGTGCTGGGGTGCAAAGGCAAGCGACCCCCCACGAGGCGGCCCGCGGAGCTGGGGGACTTCGTGGTGCGGCCGCGCCCACGCGCTCCTCGTGGACCTGGGGCAGGCGAGGGTGGGCAGCGCGCGGGCGGTGGTGGAGCGCCCAAGCGAGCCCCCTGGTGGCCTGACGACCGTGCTGGTGCTGGTGGGGGTGGCACCGCAGCAGCTGGTGGTGGTGCAGGTGCAGGAGGTGAGGGCACTGGCATCAACGAGGAGCTGTGGCACAAGCTGGTGCAGTTGCCTGAAGACGCCTTCAAGGTCAGCGCCCAGCTGCTGGACGCCAAGACCAAGCGCGGGATTCTCCAAGCCAGGAGGTTGGCACAGGAGGGGCTGGGCGACCTCTCCAAGGTCAAGGAGGTCAAGGCGGCGCAGCTGCGGGCCGACGAGAAGTCCGTGCAGGTCACGAAGGCGGAGGGCCAGCTGGAGCAGGCCAAGGCGCGGGCTCATCGCGCTGTCGCTGAGATGGCGGAGCTGGGGGAAAAGCTGGTGCAGCTGCGGCGCGAGCTGGAGGAGGCCACGGTGCAGGCCAAGGCGGCCGTGGCAGCCCAAGCCGCGAAGCAGTCCGAGGCGGAGACGGCGAAGCCGAAGGCGCCAGCTGCGGCGGCCCCCACGGCCGTGTCGGCTGGGCTGCGGGCAGCGATTGCCGCGGAGCTCGCCAGCCACGCGGCAGAGGCGCCTGAGCTGGTGGTCAAGCTTGGCGGGGCGCTGGGCGAGATTCTGGACAGCCACGCCAGCCAGGCGGCACCTGAGGCGGCTGCTGCTGGGCTTCCGCGGCAGCAGGAGGACGTGGGTGCTGGTGGTGCGGCTCATGCCCCTGCAGCTGCGGCCGCTAGCGTGGCGCCCGCTCCTGCAGCCGCGGCGGGCGAGCCAGCGGCTGGAGGAGCCAATGGGGCGACTGGGGTGGACCAGGCCTGGCGCGAGCTCGCCATGGAGATGGAGGACCCCGAGAAGCGGAAGTTCGCCGAGGTGCTCAGGGAGGAGCAGGCGGGGTCGGAGGCCAAGCGGCTCCGCACAGCGGCTGAGGCTGGTGCGCAAGACTCCTAGCAGGCAGGGTGCCTGCTGGCGGTTCTGCACGGTCAACGTGAACGCGTTCTGCAACCTGGATGCGTGCCTGGCGGTGCAGGAGGTCAAGGAGTGCGACGCGGTCCTCGTCCAGGAGACCAGGCTGCTGGAGGGAAGGACCAGCGATGTGGAGGCTCAGCTTCGAGCCCAGGGATGGCGGGCGCGCGGCACGCCAGCCGTCCCGTCGTCGGCAGGAGGGCTCAGCTCTGGAGGACTGATCTCCATGGTTCGGACCGCCTATGGGATGGCGGAGGTGGACGACCCGATGGGTGCCGTGGTCGTCCCAGGCAGAGTTCACGTCTGCTGGGTCGCAGGGGTGAGGAGAGGCGGTGTGCTTCTCGGCAACGTCTACCTCGAGGCGGGGGTCGGCCTGAACGCGAGTAACGTGCAGGCGCTCACGCTGCTGGCGAGGAGGCTCAAGCAGTACCAGAAGGAGTACCTGGTTGGTGGTGATTTTAACCTCACGGAGGAGGAGCTGAGGGACGGAGGTATGCTCGCCATGTTTGATGCGGTGGTGGTTCGTCCTTCGACTCCTACGTGCGCATCGTCGGGGAGGGTCATCGACTTCTTCCTGGTGTCCAAGGGCTTGAGGGCGTGCGAGGTCAGCGTGGTGCCTGCGTCGCCCGTCTACCCGCACTCCCCTGTCCTTGTCAAGGTCGGCGCGACGGGGCCCCGTGCGCCCTTCCGCGTGGCGCAGGCGCCGAAGCCCTTCCCTGTCCTGAGGCCCTTGGGGTGCTGCGAGTACGACCACGTGGGCAGATGGAAGCGGAGTCGGCAGGAGATGAGGAGGCTCCTCAGGCCGATGGTGGACTTCGTGGACGAGGAGGTTGAGGCAGGCGCGGGCTGCAGCCTGGGGGGCCCAGTCCCGTTGGGAGCGGGCCCCCAAGGCACATGCACTGGGTCTGCCAGTCGGCCGCAGCCTGGGATAAATTGCGGCAGCCATCCTGGAGTGGAAGAGGTGGACGCGCGGGATGCGCAGTCCCACCCGGAGCCCCAGCCACAGGTCCGACCGGCGGGGCTTGCTGGAGGGAGCGCGGCAGGCTGCTGCGAGGAGGCTGGTGCTGGTGAGGTGGCTGCTGGTGCTGATGCCGCCTTGGGGCTGGGCCGCCTCGCAGGCTGCCGCAGTGTGCTCGCGCCGCCCCCTGCGCTGGCCACCGCGGCTTCGGCGGTCAGCCTTGGCCAGCTTTGCGGGCAGCTGGACGAGCAGTGGCAGGAGGCAGTGCGAGGATGCGGCTTGCTGCGGGAGCCTGAGGAAGCTGGGCCTCGTGGGGAGGCGAGGAGCACGCCTCGTCGGCGAGAGCCTGGGCCCAAGCAGCCACGAGAGGCACAGGCCCAAGAAAAAACAACCCCACGAGGGCTCTCGAGGGTTAAAACTGAGGGGCCACGCCTGGGGAGCACGCCTGAGGAGCACGGGAGCGGGAGGCGAGGAGCACGCCTGAGGACCAGACCAGAGGCGCGGCGGAGCCCGTGGAGAGGGCTGGAGGAGCCAGCCGACCGCCTCCTTGGCGGGAAGTGCGTGCCAGCAGGAGGAGGATGCGACGAGGAGAAGGTCAAGGAGGGCCTCAGCATGGCCCTGGGCGCCTTCCTCCAGTGCGCGGAGGAGGAGTGGATCGACGTGTACCAGCTGGGGGAGGAGCGCGACAGGTATTCTGGTAGAGCTGAAGGCTTCTCCACCAAGGTCGTCGTCAAGAGCGGGGTGCAGCAGGCGAGGTCGCCGAGGCTTACCCCTGAGGCGGCGTGGGTGGCCAGGGTGGCCAACGCGCTGCGCGCCGCCTCCAAGGTGGGCGCGCCACGCGCCAGGCAGGAGGCGCTCGGGTAC